GGGACTACTGTATCCTTTTCCTCATCAAGCTTCACCCACTGGTTTGAATATCCATTGTGAATTTCCTAACTCCACCATTCCTTTTACATTTGTTGGTTGGCATTCTTCGGTCAGGGAGAGCTTTCTCTTCTTCCTCACTTATGTTTATATCATTATACCTCCTGAGTTATTTTATTATATGGGATTTAATCCATTACTACCATTGTTTTAATGTTCAACATGTCCCCGATTTGGCCAGAAGCAGTCCCTTTAAGCTGACTCCTGTGTCCTTTTAACACGTCCCCATGACTTTCTGAGCACTTCCTTACTCTATGGTGTAAGATGTTCCAGGCTCTTGTACTTCTGCACTAGCCCTGGTCCCTTTCAGTGGAGAACGGCATTCAGAAACCAATACTGGGGCTTGTGGTTACTGGGCTGTCTGACTTCGAGGCCCCTCAGGCTACAGGGTTTTAAGGCAGCGGATTAGGTGAAAGGCAGGGCCATGAGACTGGACTTGTAAGTGAGGACTCAGCAAAACCAGGCATCAGACTGTAACGGAATCTATAGTAAGTGCTGGGTGCACTGGGTGGGGGAACCCAGGCCAGGCCAACCAGGCAGTGCAATTTCGTAGCTCAGAAATATCTCTACAAACTTCATAAATTTATAAACCTCCTGGGGTGGGTAACATCTTTCTGCTCTTCTTGCTTTGGTGTGAATTACTTCCAGGGCAGAGGACAGGAGAGGCTGGTTTGCAAGGATGGTGGTCGGGGGTCAGGGAGAGTTGGGGCAGGTGTGGCAAGGGAAGATCGGTCTCAGGGGCTCCAGATGGTAGATTGTGTCTCCCACTGCAACAGAAAACTGCACGGATTTCTCCTGCACAGACCCTGTGCTGTGATCAAGGCTCACTGGTCGACTGGCTCATAAGAGCCTGGTCATCAGAGTGAACTCCAGGGATTAGAGTGGTGACTCATGTGGGGCCACAATCTCAGAGTTGGTCTCCCTGAAAATAACTGTGCCTCCTGGTGGTGTCTGGGTGCCCTCCATTCTGAAGGGCCCACTAGCTTTGCAGTCGACTAGGGCAGGGGCAGTGCTGGGCCTCTTGTGGGCACAGGTGGGGACAAGTGCTCTCTGTTTCTAATGGCTTTCACACGCCTTACCCTGCTGGTGCCCACTGCAATCCTGGGGCAGAATGCCTTTCTTTTCTGTCTTCCAGATGAGAATGCTGAGTGAGCCCAGCCAAGTAGAGAGGCACCAGTCTCTGCCAACTCTGGTGTTCTTCGTGGTTGGGCCTGGCCATGGCAGCGTGGCCGCTGTTTGAGGGCACAGGGAGCTTCACTCTCTGAGATTGGTCTGAGCAGCCTCAGCAGTCTGGAGGGGCCGTGGGGTCAGTAGCACTGCTGCCTCTCAGGACACTGAACCCAGCCCTGCTCAGCTTCAGCCAGGCAGGCCTATGATGAAGAACCAGGCCTTCAGATGAAGAAAGGACGCCAACCCTTGTGACTTGACTTGTAGGAACCAGCTGTGGAAGGAGCTACATGACACTGGGTAGAGGGGTATGATGAGCCTTAAGGATGAAGATGACTAACTCTACTTAAGGATGAAGATGACTAACTTGTCTCTGCTGGTGTCAGGCCCCTTGATGGTGTACTGAGGGGGCTTAGGATCCTGCAAACCAGCTCTGAGAGGAAGCTCAGAGGGCTTGGAGTGAAGGAAGCCAGTGGTTTTAAGAATGGCAGGGCTGAACCTGAATGGTAGAGCCCCAGGTGCTGGGAGAGGCAGCAGAAGGCACAAGACAGGGAGTGGTGGCCTAGGCATTTGGCAACCAGGGAGGGGCTCTGGGACCTGGCAGTAGGGAGGGACCATGAGACATCAGGCACTAGGGAGGGCCTGACAGATGGACCCCTGTGCAGGGCTGCTCCATGAGGTGTCCCAGGGGCCTAGTGACAGCAACCCAATCTTTCTCTGCCACTTTTTCCTCATATGCAAATAAAAATAATTCTGCTGACCTACTTCTCAGGATGTTTGTGAAAAATAACTAATAAAACATGGTAAATTAAAAAGAGTGGGGAAGAGGCAGAGAGAGAAGCAAAAAGAGGAACAGGAAGAGAATAAGAAGACAATATAAACAGGAGAAAAGGAAGAAAAGATAATTCTCATTTTGCTGTCAAGTCACAGAAGTCAGAAGCTAGGAGCGGACCATTACGGGGATGCTGCAGTGGTGCAGACCACCAGGAGGTCCCAAGCAAACAGCCAACTTTAAAAAAACACATCATTATTGTTAACAATTTGATGTTTTAAAAGCACATCTTTTACTATAAAGTCTTAGAAGGCTCTAATTCAGATAACCCATATGATTTAAGCACCTCTGGGTCCTTTCCAGAAACAGGAAGTTCTCCCCCAATGGCAATCTATAATATTCCTTTTGCATTGTATCATGAAAGCGAGCAAAATCAGCTAATGCTGGGACAAAGGCTAAGGGAATGAGAAGGGGCCAGTGATTCCCTGTATGAGTTTCACTTCTCAGATTTAAGTTAGCATTGCTAGCCCACGTGGTCCCTCTCCTTCTGCCTCAAACACCAAGGGCAAAAAGAAATCTCTCTCTCTATTATGTTCCTCAGCAGCCAAGAAGCTGTCATTAGTCTATATCCCTTTTATGAACATCTTTCATTAAAAAGAAATTAGAATAAAGTTAAAACTTTAAGTATAGATAACAGCTACTCAAATTTATGTTTATAAGTATGAGGGAAGATAAAGAGAAACGACTTATGCTGTGTAAGTGAAAAAAAGCAGGATACACAATTGCATGTAGAGGATGATCACAACTACTGAACACTATCTAAAAACTATCTAAAAACAACACCGGCACAACAAAAATCTACACATAGAGAAAAGATTGGATGGAAATAGAGCTACAGAAGGAATGAGGGATATTTTTCTCGTGTTATCCACATTTTCTATTATTAATATGTGTACTATAATGAAAATATGTAACAAACATAATTAAAAAAATATATGTACTAGCAACTGATAAACGAAAGAATTAGAGATGATCAAGATCATAGAAAATTCAAGACAATCCTCTGTTAGAAATCTTGTCATATGGCCTCTTTCCACACTCAGAAAACTTCTTGGGCAATTCCAAACAGCAGAGATCCCAGAAATGCCTTTTCTTTGGTTGTGGAAGCACTGTGGACTTTTTATCAGAGAATTTACCTTACTAATGTTTTGCTTTTTGAAACAGCAAAGTGAGATTCCACACCAACCGCCTTGGGGATAATAATAACAGACTTGCCACAGGTCATTTATACAGTACATGGTATGCCTAAGGGGCCACTCTGGCTCCCCAAGTCCTGACTCCACGCACTTCTCACAGCAGACACTGTTGGCAGCTATGCTTCAGCTGTCCATCCCTCAGCTCCCTCGTAACCTGACCTGGGTTTCTGTCCAGACCTGGACTGGCAGTGTGCCCAGCCCCGCGGCAAACCTCCTGTGGGCTGAACCTATCATGGTAATGCTGACTCCTTTGCAGGCACAGGCATGTGGCCCAGCCAACGTGATGCTATTAGGAGTAGGTTTAGCTACTGGTGACAGACATTTACTCCTCTGTCATGTGGAAGTACAGAGGAAAGTGCTCCAGACTGGGAAGGGGGTTCTGCTTCATTCCTGTGTGGCCCCTTGTCCTCACTCTTCAAGATGGCCTGTAAGTATTTCAGGATGGAGGAAAGGAGGGAGACAGAGGGGCAAAAGCAGTGTTCCCTTGAGGAAGGGTCTCTCAAGGATGGTTCTTGGACCAATACTTCCACTATCTCCCTTTTGCCAGTACTTGGTCACATAGCCATATTTAGCTGCAAGGGAGGCTGGGAAATGAACTCTATTATGGGGGGCCTATATGCTCAGCTAAAATTTGATTACTATGGAAAGAGGAGCATGAACTTGGGGGCACTGTTAGCAGATTTTGCTGCAAAAACAAAAGGGGCAGTCTGCTGGGGGGCTGATGTGAGATTGTCCTTAATGAAAAGAGAATCCCAAGCACACCTAGCCTCAGACCTTGGTTTCTAATGTCATTCTCCAATAAAAGGAAATAAGGCCCTCTAGAGAAATGGCTGATTTCAGGATTGGGGCAGGGAATATGCAAGATGAATCTGGCATATCTGGTAATGCCAGAAAGTAAGGAAGCACCCAAAAAAAAAAAAAAAAAACAAAAACTCCACAATGATGGGGGCATGTCAAAGGGTCAGAGGAGCCAGTGGAAAGAGCTCCTAATGGCCAAACCTGGAACAATTTGAGCAACAGAATAAATAATGTAGTACTGGATTACAATCCAAAGTGTAAAACAAATATCTGTGAGTCCATATTAATTTAAATAAGTGATTGCATAAGTAACTGAAGGAGAAGAGACAAATCTCACACACACAAGAATTCCAGGGAATTTCTGTAGATAGTCTGCACTTAGGGAAGTGGAGCATACTCCCCACTCCTTTGGTGTGAGCACAGTGACTTCTTTGTGAAGAGTAGAGTATGGAAAGGGGGAAAAAGAGTGGAGCAACCTGATAATCAATAACTCAAACAGGCAATCAAGGTCAACCTCAACAGTCATAATTCATGTGCACAGTATATACCTTTGGTAGGCTGTGGTGAGAATGGCACTTTACCTCTGTGATCTTCATCCCCAAAACCTATAACCCTAGTCTAATCATGAGAAAAGTATCAGACAAACCACAGTGGAGGAAGAGTCTACAAAATACCTGACCGTAATCTTCAGAACTGTCAAGGTCATCAAAAACAAGGGAAGTCATAGCAAGAGGAGCCTAAGGAGACATGATGACTAACTGTAATGCGGTGTCCTGGATGGGATTCTGAAACAGAAAAATGACATTAGGTAAAAACTAAGGAAATCTGAATAAAGTATGGACTTTAGTTAATAGTAATGTATCAACATTGGTTCCCTAATTGTGACAAATGTACCATCCTGATGTAAGATATTAATAATAGGGGAAACTGGATGTGGGGTATAGGGGAACTGTCTGTACCATTGTCTCAATTTTTCTGTAAATCTAAAACTGTTTATTAAAGAGAGAGAGAATGAATGCTTCCCCTCCTTCCTGTGTGGGAGGTCACATTTTGGAGCTGAGGTATCTTCTGACTGCAGAGATGACCATTCACAGCCCTCACCAACTCTGGACCCATCTATTGGATTTTTGTGATGTGAGAAAATAAACTTCACTGTTTAAGCTGTTTGGGGCCAGGTGTCTTGTTCCTTGCAGCTGAATGCATACCAACTGACACTCCTCATATCCCTTTCACAGCCACTACTCTGGTTTAGACCTTCATCTCCTTACTCAAGAATTTTAGCCTGCTCCAACACCCTTCCTTCCTAATCTCCTGGTTGCTCTCTTCCTTCTCTGGCTTTACCCCCTGCCGGCATCTCTCCCAACACCCCAACACCCTGAAGTCAGCAACTCTTGCCATTCCCAGGACAGGGCATGTTCTCTTACACTTCCAAGCTTGTGCACACTTGAATCCCTCTGCCTGGAATGCCCACTCCTCCATCCTTTTTTCTCTCAGCAAATAACTACCCCTGGGTGAAGTTTCAGCTCACCGGGTGCAGTAGGCAGGATTCTCACATGTCCCTGAAGATGCCTGCCTGCTGCTAGACACCGCCTGCATAACCCTGGGTACTGGGAATATAATGAGGTGCACTCCTATGATTAGGTTACACTGTACAACACAGTTTACTTTAAGAATAGACGATTATCTGGGTGGGCCTGATTTAATCATACGAACTCTTTAAAAGCAGAGAGTTTTTTCTGGCTGGTAGCAAAAGAGGAAGTCAGAGATTCAATGTGTGAGGGAGATTTGACGTGAAAGAAATTCTCTGTTGCTGTCTTTGAGGATGGAGGGGGTCACATGGCAAGGAGTGTTGGTGGGCTCTAGAAACTGACAGCAGCCCCTGGCTGACTGCCTGCAAAGAAATGAGGACCTCAACCCTACAACCACAAGGAACTGAATTCTGCCAACAAGAATGAGGTTGGAAGCAGATCTTTCCCAGGTCTTCAGATGAGAACTCAGCCTAACTGACATCTTGATTTCAGCCTTGTGATACTGGATAGAGAACCCAGCCATGATGCTGTGCAAACTTCTGACCTACAGAACTGTGAGCTAATAAATAGGTGTCATTTTAAGCCACCACATGTGTGGCAGTTTGTTATGCAGCATTAGAAAAACTAACACACCATGCCTCCTCCCTGAAGTCTTCCCTCATTCCTTGGGCACACCTGTAACATCTTCTCTGCTGCTGTGGCATCTCATACACATCCCTTCTATATGGCAAGTCACTTGGTATTATAATGATCCATCTACCAGTCTGCCCTCCTCACAAGATTCTGAGTTTCTGGGAGGTGATGGCAACTACCACTTTATTATTGCAATCCCAGACACAGAGTAGGAAGGCAAAAAATATCTGTTGAATGACGGTTTCACCAAGAAAGAGAAAATCCCAAGATCACTAATTTGTAATCATATATACTGAAATAACCAAGGATGCTGGAGATTTAATGTCTAAGCAAGAGGAAAAGTCACCAATGTAAGAAGGGAACAGAGGAAAGAAAAGAGAATATTATTACTATATGTGTGGGGTGTTTCTAATGAACCAGAAGTGAATGAAGTCCCCAGGTATGGTAGGTGAGGGAAGGGAGGGAAGGAGAGAGCAGAGCTATGAAGAAAAATTCATCTCTATATTACTTAGTAAACAAGTATTTATTGAATGCCTGCTATGTGGTCAGGCCAGGAACTGTGGACGACAATATAGAAGTTTAAGATTTAAATCCCTCCCTCAAGGATATTGAGATCCTCCTTTCTGTGGCACACCAGGCTTAGAACCTTAGAACCCAAAGGAATCTTAAAGACTTTGATTTTAGGTGCATATAAGCTTAAAAGTCCTCCACGTTTTAAACAGGTGGGAGCAAACTGATTTTCTATTTAGCTGTCTATTTTTGAGGTCCTTCGGTATCGGCCCTTCTTTGTGTTGGCTGCCTAATTCTCTGCGGAGGAGATGAACCGTTATTTATCAGATCAGTCTGATAGTCACTCAGGCTGTTTTCAGGCTTTCACTTTTACAAACACCTGTCAATGAACCGTTCCTGCACCTCTGACACTTCTGCTAATGGGTCTGTAATAAAAATTCTAGGAAAGGGACCCAAGCCTTTTGTTATTACACAACACCCTCTCCCTCAGTCTCTGCCCCACGGATGCCAGCTCCCCTGACCCGCTAGGGCCCCTCACTTGGGGGAGTTGCTTACCTCCGGGCCCGGTGGGTGCCGTTCCCATCTCGCTCATTTCAACTGCTGTGGTCTGCAATAGGCAGGAAGGGGGTGGGGTCCATAAAATGTACCGAGAAACCAAGTAGACGCTGGACGAAGGAAAAAAAATGGTACAAGATGTTGCAAGGGGTATTGGAGGAAAGAGGAGATGGGGCGGGAAAGATGCTTTCTGGCTCAGAGTAGCGTGGGTTAAAAGCAATCGCAATGCAGGTTAGTCACAACATGGAGGGCCTCCAACGCTAGCGCGACCTATTTGTACTTTATCCTGTGGGCGATAGGGGGTGAAGGAGGGACTCCGTGGAAGAGATTCGCGTTTTAGACTCTGCACTAGATCTGGGGGTGCAGTGTCAACTCATCTCTCTGGGCCGAGATTTCCACATCTGCTAAAGTGGAAAAGTAAGACTTGCGGGGCCCACCTAGAATGATGGTGAGAACCAAACCTGTAAAACTCAGAAGGCCGATCTCCAGGGAGGAAGTTTACGCTTAGGTGACAAGCCGACAGTGATTTCTAAGTCCTTTAGAAAAAAATTCTGAAACGAGATCCAAAAATTAAGAGGCAGATGGCTTTTCGCCTGCAAACGCCTTGCTATGGCCTCGGAGTGGGTCGCAGCCCCTCCTTGCCCGCCACTCCCCGCTCGGCGGCTCGAAGCCCCCGCGGGAGACCCTTCTCGGGATCTGCCGTGAAGCCTTGCCGCCGAGGACTCCCTCAGACGCTGGAGAACCGAGGTGCGCGTGCCCGTGCGCGTGCGCGGAACAGGGGCCCGGAGCCGGCAGCTCGGAGCCAGGGGCGGGGCCGGCGCTGGGAATCCCCACACCGCCGAGCAGGCGGGACGACCGGACGTGCAAGGGCGCAGCCGGCCGCTGCGCAGGCGCGGGCACGCTCCTCTCGGCCTCCGCGCGGTGCTCCAGGACAGGCGCGCGCCCGCGGCGGGTTCCGCTCCCGGCGGGCGGAGGGCTGCGCGCGCCCGAGCGGGCCGGCCGTGACGTGCGCCGCTCTACGCCCGACGTCACGGGTCGGTGTGTAGTGGCGGCCGGGCTGCTCTCAACGGCGGCGTCTGACGAGGGTGGTGCGGCTGCTGGGTGCGGCGTTCGGGGGTCGTGCGGCTCGTGGCGGCGACGACGACGAGGACGACGACCGGGAGGCCCGGC